AGAGAGAGAGAGAGAGAGAGAGAGAGAGAGAGAGAGAGAGAGAGAGAGAGATCTTATCTTACCTTATCTTATAAAATCTTATCTTAGAGATGCATACTCGTGCACGGTGCGCGCGGCGCGCAGTCTAGAACGCAGACGTTTACATGTCGTATAATATATCTAGTGCTCCTCTAATTCGAGAATGATGACTGGAATTTGTGTGTTAATATTATTGTTATTTGTTTTACTGCTTGTAGATCTATTTGGGATTTGCATTTTCATAATAAATACTGTTAGGCTATCAGTTTTTCTATTGCCCAAAAACAGTTTTTGCTATTACTACTACACATATGTGTAAATAAATATCTATTTATTACTCCTTAACTGACTCGGATAACCAATGTTTTTGCTCGCCTTTACAAATCAAAGCGGAGCTCTGTCAATTCAATATTAAAACTTTAGTGGTGCACTCTTCCAAAACTTTGCATCTGTTTTATGATTCTGGTTTGAATAGACCTAACCATGTTTTTGCACCCCTTTTCATCAATCAAAACGAAGCTTTACAGTTGAACACGTGTGTAGAATTGTTTCGTTTATACTATATAGGGCCTGTTCTTCCCATCCACATTTTACGTCTAAAGAAATTTATTTGACAGTTATCTTTCCTTAGGCTAGCCAGTCAGTCGTCAGTCAGTCAGTCAGTCAGCCACTTTTCCACTTCCACAGCACAGGCCACCTTTCGGTTTCCACTTTCCACTTTCCTGTTTCCAGCACTGTAGCACAGAGACTGACACAACGACGGAATTTCAGATTGTCGACTTGTGAACCGGTGCTACACATCCCCGTAAATCGAGATGTTTTTGAAGCCATTTCGTGTTAAAACTCAGACTTCAGTCAAAAGTTCAGACAGGTTGGTTTATTCGGTGATCTTGTTATTATTGTAAGGGCAAGTACTTTTAGTATTGTAGTTCCGTTCGACGTTAAAAGTTACGCAGTGGCTACGTTCACGGCGCCGTGAACGTAGTCTGCAGGCTAGGTTCACGGCGCCGTGAATGTAGTTGGCAGGCTACGTTCACGGCGCCCTGAATGCAGTTTGCAGGCTCTGTTGAGGCTACGTTCACGGCAC